GAGCTGCTTTTTCCCTCTTACTCTGTGCTGCATTCTACAGTTTTGTACATCACAGCACACTCTTCTGGATAAACTTTGGAGTGACACCAATATATAACCACATGTAGTTTTTTTTTGCATTATATACCGGAAAAAAACTGTTTTCATATGATGGCATATTGATACTGATACAATACCGATATGACTGTGATGGGCCAATATTGGCTAATCAATATATTGGCTCGAAAATAGTGTTAAGAACACAAAGAAGGAGATGATTATGAGTGAAATACTAACCAGTGCTCTGGCAATACAGTGTTGTTCTCCCACATAACAGTAGTCACCAGACACGTTCGTCTCAAACCAGATATGATCTCCGTATAGAGCTGACTCCTACAGAGACAGACACACAGAGACATAGAAGAGGCTCAGAGAAGGACAGAAACAGAAGAAAATCAACCTGTTTTTTAATAGACCTTTCCGTGTCACAGAAAAATGAAATAATAAATAACATGTAAAATCATTGTGAAAACCACTGACAGTAAATTCTTGGTACGAGGCTGTGCCAGTCAGAGCCAACTCAACTCCCGTATTTTTTTTTTTAACTTAGTTTCTAAAATCAACTTTCTCACTAACCCTTTTATGAGACACAGTACTCTCAACAGCTAAACAGAAATGTGAGGAATAAATCTTGTGGTATGATAGCAGTAACACACAGGAAGGAGTGTTTTCTTGTGTGGCATTAGTAACAGTAACGTGTGTGTGTTGTTTCAGACCCCTGTTGTGTCATAGTGATACCCAAACTCACAGTCCAGTCCACAGTACTGCGGATGTTTGCTTCTGGGTCGATCAGAGATGATGTACTGGGCTGACATGGCAGATGGTGCAGGCCCGACTTGGCAATTGCTTTCCTGGAAACACAAAAAAACAAAAACTAGTGAATGCTCCTATTTTGTCCTTCACAATAAAATTCAAAGAAAAAAATGTTTAATACATTTAATAATATAGATTTGAGTGTTTCTGATTGAAATTAAACTGCAACTATTTGAAAACTGAAAAATGCAATCCCTTATATTTATAAACAATGTTAACTGCTCCCGATCAAACATTACTTCCACTAACATATCAGCATAACAAAATGTAACAGAAAGTGAACGGCTGTCTCCTTTTGTGAAGCTCATTCATGTCTTTTAAAGGACGTTCTCTAATGTCAACAGTTGACAACAATTCAAATGAAATGAATGAAAAATTAAACATTAAAATTTATATTTTGGGCTGTGTCGTACTTAAAGATATCTCACTTTCTCTGCTAAGGGATGCGTATTAAAAAGAAAGTACATTGCATAAATATACTGCAGGTTTCTCTTCTCATGCCTTGTGGAATATCACATTTAGTTGGAAAACTTATGTCAGCATGATCTGTATATGTTTGTATCCGATTTTTTGAGGATGGGACCTCAGATGGAATAGTTATGAATATGGATATCCATCAGTACATCCACTTTTCAAATGTTAAAGTGGTTTTGTTCATCCTAAATCCAGACCACCAAAATATAATAAGAATAAAAGCATGAAAAATTATGTTAAGTTGTATGTTAATATTGTGTTTGGAAAGGATTTTAGTTACTTGTGGCAGTTAGTCACAAGTAAAACAAATACCACTGTATGAGATCATTAAACAGAAGCTGCAGTGCTGCAATAAAGTCATATTCTATACAGTAGACAGAAAATAAAGTATAGCTTTTGGTGTGGGAAAGTTAGTAACCCTAATCAACAAATAGCAACTACTCCAGTAGCTTTCACTGGGCTGAGAGGGCTGAGCATTTTACATCAATTTATTGTGAAGATTATTGTGACAATGCACAAATACTAGCAGCAAAACTCTATATTTTAAAGGATTTTTAATATGAATTATGTTGATGTTTATCACTTATGTCCTTCATTTTGACATGATGGAGATTGTAACCAGCCTATTCTTTTTAGATGATCAAACACTATTAATATGAGGAATGGAAAAGTACAAATCCTTCAGCACTCCTGGTCATCTGTTACAACACTCATTAGCTAAAGGTCATTAAGATCTAGGACTGTCAATGAACATTTTAAACTCAATTATATAGTCCAATTGCAAAAAACAACAACATTTGACTGTGAAAATTAATATTTGGTTGTGGGGGGGAAAAAAGCATCAGGGCGGTTTGCTGGCACGCTGACGCAACACCACCTTTCTCTGACTGAAACTGAAATGTTAGTCTAGCTGAAGCAAGCAAATAATTCAACTACAACCATGTGGTAAAGATGGCAGAGAGTTCACAGCCCAACTCAGCCGCAGAGAGAGTTTACTGTTTTAGCAATCTAAAAAGGCTGTTTGGAAATAATTGAATAGCGGGATTACAGTGGATATAAAAAATCTACACACCCCTGTTAAAATGATAGGTTGTTGTGATGAAAACTGAGACAAAGATAAATCATGTCCAAACTTTTTCCACATTTAATGTGACCTATAATGTGAACAATTCAATTGAAAAACAAACTGAAATCTTTTAGGTGGAAAAATAAAAAACGTACAAAAAGCTGGTTGTATAAGTGTGCATAACCTCTTATAACTGGGGATGTGGCTGTATTCAAAATTGACCAAATAGTAGTCAGTACACACCTGCCATCATTTAAAGTGACTCTGATTAATCCCAAATAAAGTTCAGCTGTTCTAGTAGGACTTTCCTGACATTTTC